TTCCTATGAACTACAAAATTTCTTTGCTTTATGGTGTTCAGAAAGGTTAGTGCCAACAAAATTTTCTAGATACTTACCTCTAGCGTGGTGGGTAACTATCTAGAAAATTCATCCCCGACAGGTAAACCGATACAAAGGCTCTCAAGATGTATATTACGTTGTCAGAGTTTAGTAGAAACGATAACTCCACAAAAAATATAAACACTCCCCCCCCCCCCCCCCCCGCCGTTTTACACCGAGAAACCGCCCCCCCTAAAATGGAGGTCTGGATCCGCCGTTGTACGATACATGCGTAACGGAGGCGGTGGAAGATCGTGTAACGATATCGGAGTCATCGAATGATTTACTAAAACTCTCTTATATCGCAAATGTAACCAGGGGTTTCCCCAGGAATCGAAATTAGGGGGGGAGGGGGGGCATTGAGAATAGAGGAGTCGTTGCAAATTAAGGGGATGCCTTTAGAAAAACAAGGGGGAGTGTACACCGCCCCTAGGGGGTGTGTAGGGAAATCACTGAATGCAACCGCGGCCAACAGGGTGGCTCTTGGCGGCTCTTTCGAACGCACAGCCTCCAACACACGCTCGTTCACCTATTTTTCACCGAGCTTTGACTGCGCGTGCACGCTCGAGGCTCACGAGACGCCGTGCGCTAAATATCCACCCGTGATATGTGTACGAACTATTTAATAAAAAAAGATATTTTGGACATGACAAGCTCACAAGTAAACAATAAAACGTAGCGACCCACCAATGACACGAAAGGACGTCGCCACACCCGAATCCCGGAGAAAAGCTCACCGATTTTTTAATGCGAAAGCATTAACTGTCTCATGAAACGAGTTGACGTCATCAGTCTGAAGCGCGAAAACGGCAAATAGTTTCCTTCGGCTCCATTGGCTGGCGCGTGTCGACGGGGCTCCCATTGGCCGCTGCGCTCGTCAGTTTCCACGACCGCTCACCCCAAGGCGCTGCGTGTCCATCAGCGCGGAACGTCCAAAGTCACCAGGGGAGCACACGCGCCGACCGGCGACGAAAAGTACGCAGCAGACAGAAAAGGGAGCGGACGAGCGGCTTGCGTGCTTTCGCATTCACAACTCATAAGGAATGCTTAGGCGTACATCGATATATATATATATATATTAGCGAGGCAGTTGGATCATGCTTAGCATACACCCATTTATTGTCATTAAAATTAGTCAGTTTTGTAAAAAAAATTCCTTTTTTTTTGTAAAATTTGTGAAACTGATTGGATATATTGCTCCCAGATTAATAATTGCGGGCGAGGGTTTTCTGTGGTTTCTGTGTTGTCGACGAAAGCCTAACTGAAACATTATGAACTTGGAAAACAGGAAAAAGGTCGAAAACTTAATAATGCCTGCCTGAAACCTAAGAAGCAGAACCGTAAATGCGGTAGATCCGAATGCACACGCGCAACAACACGGTCGGTACCTGAAATTCTCTTTGAAATTTCTGTTAACCTTTGAAAACAGTGGTCAACTGGTAGCAGGGCTGTTTGTCACACAGGGCAGTTCGTTACTATGACAATTCGTCAATCTATTAACATATATTTCTTACATTTGTAGCATTTCTGATGTTTACCGAGCATAGTTATTTTCTTTTTCGACACAAGAAATACGACTTACTAATTTCTAATAGATGCTGACTAAGTATGTCTTGTCCACCAGAATCTTGGCACCTCTCAGTCACTATGTCTGCGCACGGGCCGCTGACGTGCAACGTTTCTTTTTTGTCCTTCCATCTTGTTGCAGCTTTAGGAAACTGAATCTTGCATCCCCTCCTCTCGTATTCGTCTTCGTCAGCATTGCGGGAGCAAGTCGAATACTTGCTCCCGCAATGCTGGTTGGTGTTGGTGAAATTGTTGGTGAAATTTACGCAAATCAGCATATTTGTACAATCTTTTGTCAGCTGACTGTGCGCTTTTGAACCAGCTGTCCGTGAAAAAATGTTGGTTTTATGAAGATAGTGCCATTCCCCATGTTTTCATGGTACCTTGGTTGTCATGAAAACAGTACCTGTATGCCGTGTGTCACACACATGCACAGCGTATTATGAAATTCGTCTGCAAGCCACCTGCCCTTTCGCAGATATAGTGCAGGCTTATTGATATGAAGTCCGAGAAACGTCAGAAAGTAGAAGCGCTTGGTGTTTCATTCTACCGAGTTCATTCCTTCGCGTGGCGTTTCGCCTTTGGAAAGACAAAATGTAGCGTTGTCTGGTGTACGACAATACATCTAAGCATCTATCGTTTTTAGAGGTGGCCCGCAGAATCTCTACGTGCAGATCGGAGATATTTAGTCTGGGAGACCCCCGTGTTTAGTCGACGTATGTCTACACTTTCGGAGTTCAAGCTCGTTTATTCCGCATGTCGCTTGCTCCAGCTCGGCATCTGTCCGCGTTGATTGATTCCTTGACATAGCGAGTCACGCACGGAGCGACCACGCACCGAGCTCTCCGCGTGTATGCTATTTTGTATGTGCGGTCCGCTGTCAGATGGGCTCTTAGATGCTCCAACTGATGCGACTGCCACTGGCTGGCCGAGGGGTAGGAAACTGTCGACGTTTAAGTCCGCGAACGTCATCAATACCGCGCTCAGGGAAGACCCGGCACGGTGCACTTGCAGGAAAAGCCAGGTGTTTATCAACATCTCCGAATGAGATCGCGTCATTAGCCGGTTAGAACACCGGAGAACGAAGCACGAAGCACTGATCGCTTCCAGTAGGTTTCTTTTCAAGATCATCGACGTTGACGATTGTAAAACGTTTGCGCCATTTTCAACTCAAGCGTTCTTAAAAGTTTGTCTGTTGGTGGTTAAAGAAAAATTTGAGGGGTCTGAGACTGAACAGAGGTAAGTCTAAAGGCCCGTTCACACTCTTGCGACCTCTTAAACCTGGGTTCCTTAAAACTTCTTAAACCAGAAAACACACTGGCGCCATCTATTGGGAAGCAGTCTAAACTCAGCGGTCCGGCATATTTTTTTTATTTCTCGAGCATTATCCTTTCTTTCTTAGCTCGAAAAACTTTTGTCAATGTTATAAACGAGCCTTTCTATGGGTATTACGCACATTTGACCTCGGAAATCCCGCAAAACCTTCGCTCTTGTGAAATGCAGTTCCAGGGTCACCGCACAGATGGCGCCACAATGCCAGTGTGTTCCCTCATTCTAAAAACATTTAAGAAGTTTTAAGAGATCTCGTCTCTCTCAGTCGTACTCGGTCGCAAGAGTGTGAACGGGCCTTAATTATGTTCACAAAGATAACGAAAGAGAGAGAGAGAGAGAGAGAATGGTTGACTTTGGAGAGATTAGCTGTCGTAGAAACGACACCGACTATTCACGAATATTTACAAATATGCCGCGTGCCATATACAATGCTCTTCCTAGTAACGCTTTTTTTCTTCAAAACGAATCTTCGCATATGAACAATAAATATTGAATTCGACTGGGACCGGCGGCCAATAGGGTGTTTATTCAACACCACCTAGAGAGAAGGCCTCCACACGCGTCATCATAGTCAGATCGATCGAGGCGAGAGATTGGGCACGAGTGCTGCGTCAGTGTTCGGCTGCGGCTCGTGGCCAATCAGCGCGTCGAAGGTCGGGCTCGGGTCCAATAGCCGACCGAGCGCGATCCGACTGTGATGACGTTTCATAGAAGAAGAGGAAACCATGCGGAGGCCTTCTGTCTAGGTGGTGTTGGTTTATTGCCATGTTCCCACGAGCTTCCTTTCTTTGGTCGGGCAGCTGCTGTAAAAGGAGGCGAAAGAAGGAAGGAGAAACACAAAATGAAGAGGAAGAGAGGGAAAGATAGAGAGAGAGAGACAGACAGACAGAGAGAGAGAGGGCGAGAAATAAAGAGGGGGTTGCAACGAGTGTAAACGAAGAAAAAAGCGGACAGGGCATATTGCGTTCGTGAGTGAAAGCTGTTGTTTTCTGAACAAGGAACACGATAAGGCGGTTCGGATAAGGGGTCTACGGATGTCCGCAGATTCTGTATCCCTTCCATTTGTAGTTTATGAGGGCTCCTTGCAAATCCAAGAGACGAAGAACTCGAGGCGCTGCACGCATCCTCCGTAGAAGCAGAGCCCTTGCAAAACTTCTCATTAAAGGGAAGCTTAAGCGGTTCTGTATTTGAGTAAAAATACTTAAATCGTCTGCATTTGGCTTTCAGGATCACGAATATCGAGATTATTTTTCAATTTGGTGCACGGAGGCTGCAGAAAATCATTTTCAACGTACCGCTGAAGCCCCTCTTTTCCGGAGCTGGACGTCATAAAGGGGGTTTTCGGAATATCCGCTCTCGTACATCTTCAGCGTCTATCAAAACTATGCACGCACACTCTCGCTATTTTCAAAAAAAAAAAAAAAAAAAGGTCAGAAAGAGTCGTTACGACTGGTGGCAGTGCGGGGGAACATGCCTGGCCTCACGAGCGACACGCGCTTGGCGGCCAAAAGATCCAATTATAACGTTACGACTGTAGTCGGAGGTTTTTCGTGTCTTCTCGCGTTTAGTTACATCTTCGGGGAAAACGAACCTGATAATCAGATTTACGCGGATTTAAATACTCTAAAATTCACCTCTAATACGTTTTTCTTTCAAGAACCTCTCCAGCTTTATTTTAAAGCGCGTACTCATCAGACGCACACTCCACTCTTGAACACAAGTAAATTTGGCTTGACCGTTCTGATAAACCAGGGGAGCACACGAGTGTCGTGTGTGCAACGCATCCACCCAGACCTCTTTCTAACTAAGCATAAGTAATCATAACACATACATAACGCACGTAAAACATACTCTGTGGTCTCCGGGTTTTGTCAAGCGGGTCAAGGAAACTTTCTTTTTTCCGGCGACCTACAATATTCTCTCCCTCCTCCCCCCTCCCCCCCCTCCCCTTCCCCCAACACACAGACACCACCACCACCACCACCCTGAACCTTAATCCGCTGGCCCAAATAACAAATAGAAACGCCAGAAATCACGGAGACTCATTTTATTATTGTTTCTTCAGTTTGCAGCTTACAGAACACCACAAATTACAAGCGCCGGTGCTGGGAGCTTGCAAGAACCGTGGCGACATGCTCGTGTTTGTCTGCCTTCAACGTCGGAGGCATTATTGGGCTCGGTGGAAACGGGACGCGATCCTTCTGGTGCTGCCATGTGTCCCCGTCGAGGAAGGCGGCTGACTCTTGAGCTGTCTTGTCTGCTTCGCCTTTGAATGCAGACTCGAAGTTCTCCTTGTCTTCTTGACAGTCTGCGATGGATTCACCACTGGTTAATAGGCGGATCTGATCAGCCACTTCCGTTACGTCGCCACTGTCGGCATGCATCGCGGGAACTGCAGTCTTTCTAGACGCGCTACAACCCCGCAGTGGATCTGCGCGAGCAGAGCACGAGAAGGCACGTCAGCCTCGTGCTCCGTCGCTTGCATCCTGTGGACTAAAGTTATGGCGACCTCAAGCTTGCGTGGGACTATACTCCGTTTCACCTTATGTCGTACCGCAGCGAAGGCTAGAAGCGCGAGCTCATAGCGTTGGCAGCTGCCCTTGGTGCACGAGAGCTTGTGCCGCCGAGACTGTGCCCTGAGCAAGAAGCTCGCGCTTGTAGCCTTTCTTGCGGTACATCATAAGGTGAAACGGAGTATAGAGCAGGGTGTAAGATACACTCTTTAGGTGAGGACACGGCGGGTCTGAACGCGCGGCGTGAGGAATCAGATAGTGTTCGTTCGACGGGCATCCGAAAGGCTGCATCATTCCGCGGCCACCGTGCCCGCGGCTGACGGTGTCGCCGGCGGCCAAACGGCGAAGCTGTGTGACAGCGAAAAAAATTATATCATTGCCATGACACCCCGGTACACCGTGGACTTTCTGCACGAGCGACAACCTCGCTGGAGCTCTGCGCGTGTGGAGCATGAGGCGGCACGAGCCGTCTTTGCAGTGCTAGAGTGCCTTCATACACACGCGCTCTTTTGCTTGAGTGGTGACATCTCAGCCATTTTTCCGCCCAATCGTTGTTTTATGCATGTTGAAGTGCGCGCAATCCGGTGTCGCTCAGCTCGAGCGCGTAGCTTTGGCTAATGCATAGACGCCATTTTAAAACCCAAGTCACGCACCAAGTGCGCGAGAGCGTCACGCGCTGGCACATTCAGGGCAACAATGGATGTCTTCACCCTGAGACAGACAGACATGTAGGCACCCTATGCAGTGCCGGGTCGACGAGTCATCTGCCGGCGCCGCTTGAAACCATAGTGAGAGAGAGAAAGAGAGAGAGAGAGTGAAAAGCGAACTTTATCTGCACTGCGCGAGGAGCGCGCTGTCCTCACCTGAAGAGTATTATCTTACACTGTGGACCAGTGTTGCGGAGTTGCCACTCCGGAGTTGGAATGATTCCCGGAATCATTCCGCATTTTCACGACCCCGGAATGGAGTGGGAATAGAATGGCGGCAACGTTAAGGGGAATGGAATTAGGTGCTCTTTGCCCGGAATGGAATGGAATGGGAATGGAATAAGGTACGGTTCTTCTTTTTTTTTTTTTTTTTTGAGTTTACGGTCAGCTAAACCGAGCCAGTCAGCGAGTCAGTTGCTCAGAAATAAAATGAGCGGGAAACTGCTAGCCCGCGTGGAGCCCTAACAGACTTATACGCCAAAGAAAATGCAGTACAAAAAACAAGCGTCAAAGCAAAGAGCAAAGGGGGAAAGGGGGGTAGCGTGGAGCCTTTCACGGACGCGCAGACGTCGGGCTTCAATGGCGTTAAGCGCGAAACACATGTACGACGAAACCGTCCGATCCGACGTCCGACCGCGCAATACGACGGTCGGAGGCGAGTGTTTTCAACGCTCTCTGATGCTACGAAAACCCTTTCCCCCCAAGGTCATTCCGGCAGTCCGCACGTCGGATCGGACGGTTTCGTCGTACATGTGTTTCGCGCTTTACACGAGAGCGAAACAAGAAACCAAGCACCAAGCAAAAGAAAAGGGAGCGGCAAAGAAAGAAACCGCCATGCACAACTCCTCATCGTCCTTCTTTTCATGCTTTTTTTGTGTTTGCGACGGTTTGTAGAATACACGCTCGCGCACAGACTGAGATCTGGGAGCGGAAGCGACTCCTAACTCGCAGAGCTCTGATAACTCGTTGACTCGGGCGCCGTCGAAAGATGATCAGGTATTGTTTTCTTATAGTTCGAGGCGCGTTGTTTAGCACGCAGCCAACCCTGCTGCCTTCCACGTTCATTCGTGTGCACTCCTTTGAAGTGCGAAATGTGGGTTTGCTTCGGCATTAAAACCCCCAAAGCGAGATTCACTTCCCTCTTCTCCTCTTGCGCTTTGCTCCGAGGCTTGTTTTTTTATACTGCATTTGTTTGTGTAAGTCCGTTTATTACTTGGTCTTTGTTCCGATGCTTGTTTTCTGTGTTATATGTTTTAGTGGGTTGAGGTTACAAGCTAGCGGATTCCCGCTCATTTCCTTTGACTTTAGTCTCTGCATACTTCGTTTCACCTTGCGATGGACTGCTGCGGACGCTACGAGTCACCCTAGGCAATCCAGCACCGTGAGCGGGACTGCAGGGTCACGCGACACTAAAAAGGCACTGGATTAGTTTCGATGACTCTCGTGCTGTCTGTTGAGGTCCATCGTAAGGGAAGTAGACTATCGTCACTGCTCTTGGTGTGACCGAATTGACTAGACCTGCAGAAAGATCGTCCCGCGCCAGACGAGGCGCGACCGTTGCTGTCAGGGCAACTGAGAAGGAGAGCTGGGTGCTAGCTGCCACGAACACTGTACTGCCACTGAGGTTTTGGCTTCCGCGCGTCTCGGCTGTCCGGTCTGCATTCGTGCTCCTTGTCCTGGACCCTATTTGAGGCGGTGAGAAGTCAGTTGGACGGTGTTGTTGAGGAAACACGGGGAATGTCAATTCGAACGGTAAGGTATTACCCCGTTAATTGTATCTTTATGTGAAGAGCTTTGTCAACGCTCACTTCCAGACCCGTCGCCACAACGCGAACCACCGACACCGAGGTAGAAGAATGAATCGGTTGGTACCGTCTGCTGCCTGAACCCGCCACTCGATCAGCGCGAAGAGGAACATCACAACTCGGACGAGAAGATAAGATAAATACAGATCGAGTCAGGGCATCGTAGAAGACATTTTTCTACATTAGTCGCGAAGAAAATAAACAAGCTGCACGCTGAAAGTTGTGCAACGAAACTATACACGGTGCAGTCGGCGTATATCATCGAACTTTATTCGCCATCTGAAGAAGAAACACGAGAACGAGTATGCGAAGGGTGGAAGAGGGCAGGCGAGCCAGCCAAAAATTGAATTGAATATGATAAGAAATATCGAGATTCGTAAAGCAAGCGTGAACTTATGCGTTTTAAAACAGGTTTCGTGACATGGTCTATACAGTCCCTCGTGCTGCGCCGCAGAGGTTGCATTTTGTCTGAGGATGTGTTCCTGCCGCTGTGTATGGAGTTGCTTCTAGAGATGGGCAAAACGGCTCACTTCAATGAGCGGCTCGGAATGGCTCAGCTCACTGAAATGAACCGGCACACTTGAACGGCTCACCGGCCCACTTCGGTGGCTGGGTTGCTCAGGAGCGAGCCGGATCTTCTTCAGCCGCTCTTTTAAAGAACGAGAGAGCCGTGGTTCTTTCGGAGAGAGAAAGTGTGCTCTCTCTCGTTCACTGAGCTGTGCCCGTAGATGTCCCGAACCGTACTGTCGGAGCCGGGTGGCCGGGTTCACGGATGGCGCCGTTCGTTGACCGCTGCCGTTCGAACGATGTCTCGATTCTCGCCAAACGTGCATCTTGTGCTGGTGTGGCGCTTCGAAGGTAGCTGTGAACTACTTATAACACTGTTATTCTAGTCATGCATATATCCTGCAGGAACGGAATGGAGTTGCTTTCCCACATTACTAATAGATGGCGTGCAAATCGCACCCGGCAAAAGACCCGGCCAATGCCCAGCCCTGACCCGGCTCTTACTCGGGACTCGGAGCGGCTGACTGAACGAGAGAGAACCGGCTCCCAAAAGAACCGCAGCTCACTTTTACTGAGCCACGGCTCACTCGCTCTTTAAAAAGAGCGGCTCAGAAGATCCGGCTCGCTCCTGAGCGACCCATCTCTAGTCGCTTCCAACAGTGTACTAGCCGTGTTGCTGTATTTGAAGAATACAGTAATATAGCTTATTCCTGCGCCACGGACGAACTGGATATTTTTATGGTCTTATCAAACAAACACGCTGGCCGCGTATGTCTTAAAAGTCAAATGCAAAAAAAGTTAAAAAAAGAGAAGAAAATGAGTGGATTTAAGTTTTGCTGTTTGTTGCGAGCCACGTGGTCGCGAGACCGATATCTTAAACAAGCACCGACATATCAAGGGGCTTTCTCGATGTTTGCAGTCAAAGCCGCCTGTATGTTGCAGTACATTGTAAATAAACACTTCCTGCCACCAGCGGTCCGCTTAGTAAAACTCAGTGCTTTTTTGAGGAATTTAGCTTTTTTTTTTTTTTTTTTTTGCAATTGTCTTTGCAATTGATAGTATCAGGTTTATGCTGCTTATGCCGGCAACACAATGTAGCTATCAAGTGCCAATTTTTACGCTTAGGAATTAAAGGAATGGAATGGAACGACTCAGCCATTCCAGGAGTGGGAATGGGCTCAGTGTCTCCATTCCTAGGAATTGAAAGGAATTGAATTATCGAAAACTCTAATTCCCCGGAATGGAATTGGAATGGAATGGGGGTACCCATTCCGCAACACTGCTGTGGACTAGAGCCACTAAATGAGCCGCGCTTAAGAGTATCGGCACTCCGTTCCCAGATATTGTCGTGGGCGCCGCCGTTTTGGTGCTTGTGCAGAGCAGACGCAACTGCCGATCGTCATGATTCCTAAGTGCGACTTCCTCAGCATTAGATTCGGTGTTAGGAAAGTCGTGTAATATTGTTTTGCTTTGTCGCGAACTGTTTAAAAATTTGTAGAGGACGGAAAAGCTTTTCCGGTGATTTCAGATAAAGTTTCAGATAACTGGCAACCATGATTTTAAGCCACGACACGGCCAAGTGTCGTTACTTTGAAGCTTAGCTTATTTAATGGCACTACGTGGGACGGTTAATTACATAGGTTTATTGAATCCGTTACAACACCTTCTACTAAAAAAAAAAAAAAAACGCCGAAGGGCAAAAATGTTTTAATTTGTTTTCCACCATAGCTTAGCGCCTAGTGTAAAAACTCGTAAACCAAAAACTAAAACGCGCCTACTTTTTTTTTCTACGAACCATCAAAAACAATGGAAAACTGACGCGCCTTATTCCACCTGTTCGGGAGCCGAAAGAGAATAGTGTGTGTGATTAGAAAAATACGTAACTTGTGACTACGCGCAGAAAACATGCGTTCCATAAATAATTTCAATTATGCAATTTGGTCAGCAGCCTGCATGCACTGCAGTGGCCTCGGAACAGGAGGCAGACAAAATCCCCCCCCCCCCCCCCAAATCTTTTTTTTTGTTTGTTTGTTTCTTTGGAGATCTTTTTGTAATGGCGGCAGCCTCCTGGGCACAGCGTCAGACAACGGAAGAGTAATGCAGCATTAGTACCTTTATGAATGGGTCGGTGCAATAGACAGCACCAATTCCATTTACGTGTGTCTCTCGCCGGGTGAATATAAAGGCGATTAATACCGCATGGTTCATTGTAGCGATACGGTCCATTTTTGTATATTTTTTCCTCGCCTATCCACCCATTCCTCAGCCACGATTATCTATCACTCGGTTCTGTCCTTCCCTCGCCTCCCGGCTTCTCTCGGTACAAAATAAATAAATATCTTAGATTGCGTTTTAATGAACAAGCAGAGCGCGCGAAAGCTAATAATCGGTGACTATCTTTAGATACACAGTCTTTTAACGACTAAAGTGTACTTTATCATGACGTGCCAGTAATGTTCAGTATGTTTATTGAGTTTTAGTCTAAATATTTCGCTCCATTATTATCGTTGCGAAATTTTGAATCTTTTTTTTTTTTTTTTTCAGCTTAGTTTTTAATTTTTGGTGTACTTAGTTTATGGTATACTCTAGCGTGTATGGGCTTCCTATTTTCTTTGCCACTGCCACTGCCTTGTGAGGAGGGCGGGGGGAGGGGGGGGGGGGGGGGGGCTCCATTTTTTTTTGTTGAAAAGGTAAATACATGAATTTGAATTGCAGTTAGCGTACAAAAGCACGAAATCGACAACCCCCGTTGTGCGATTTCAAAGTGAACAGGAAACGAAAGCTAGACTTCACGTGACCTTATGTCAGAGCACAGCCGACACCACGGGCCGATATGGTCAATTAAGCAGCGTCAAAAGTGCGAGGTCACGGCGTTCGTGATATTTTGTTCGTGTGGTAGAATGAGCGAAACCAAGCAAGCAGAGTGAACGCGCTTTGATGTTGATCTATTAGTGCAGGGTGTCACAAAAGAAAATTTACGCGGTCTTTTTTACCGCAAAAATAAACTAGGCATCGCCGAACGCTCATTCTCCGCCCAAAGGTAGCGCTAGAGCTCACAACCAGATGCCAAAGTTTCAGCCCGATCTGTTAACTTAATCAAAAGTTATAAGTGATTTTCTGAAAATTTCAATGGGAAAATGGCGGCCGACGGAGTTTTCAAACACATGGGGCTCTATGGCACCCGAAACCGAAAACGGTCAAAAATGGGCTCCATTTTCCCATTGAAATTTTCCGAAAATCACTCATAACTTTTGATTAAGTTATCGGATCGGGCTGAAACTTTGGCATCTGGTTGTGACCTCTAGCTCTACCTTTGGGCGGAGAATGAGCGTTCGGCGATGCCTAGTTTATTTTTGCGGTAAAAAAGACCGTGTAAATTTTCATTTGTGACACCCTGTATATGTATGTGTCCGTGTTTGTGTGCATTCTCTCTGACTGCTGTCCGACTTGTAATAAATGAAGCATAGAGTGTGCGGCTCAAGGTTTGGGGTTGTTGTTCGATAGAGGACGTAGCTGGTAATCTCATGCGGCTCCTGTCTCCGGTCCTCTTGATTCGACTCGGTACGTGACATCTACAGACTCTAGTTGCATCTGAAATTTATAACCCATCACCTTTAAACTTCAACGCCAGGTTCAGCCTGGAGGTCAAAGACGGGTCGAGGTCGCTGGCACACGGGTCCGCGTAGAACAGCCTTCTGAGAGCCGTTCTGCGCGAGGCAGCGACAGCTGTGGATCCGACGCCTTTCTCGGCGTATGACACCCCTTGCGATGGCTTTGCAGGTGCCGCGGGTCTCTTGAACGTCCCTGGCTCCTCGTCACCCATCACTTGCTGACGCGGAGTCCTGGAACGGACACTTTCTTGCTGGGAGAGCTGAGGCAAGAGCGGCGCCCCAACAACCGTGTCTTCGAGGAGACTTTTGACCGGTTGAGGAACGTCCATTTGTGCCTCCGTTACATTTCCTCTCCTCAAGATAACAGCGTCTGGGAAGGTTAGAAGCTCGCACGTGAGATGAATCCTGGTTGACTGCATCATCTTCTTCTATACATGGCTTGCATTGACGTCGCATCAGCCGCGATCGCTCCATATACCATGCTCCTTTGCCTGTATTTTTCGCAGCATACATTTGGCACCGTCGAATTTGTTTTTCGGCAAGGCTTGCCGAAAAAGAAAAAAAAAAGTGAAGTTCGTTTTTTTTCTTTTTGATGCTGCCGCTTTCTATTTTTCTTTTTTTCATAAGCGCCGCAACGATCGTTGTCGTTGAAGGAGGTCTTTGTAGGTTGATTTGTATCTTTGTATCGTCTGCAAACGTCTTTGTTTTATTCGCCGTTGTTCGCTACTGTTCCCCATTTCTTTTTATTTTAGTCTGAGATGAGGACCTCATCTTTCCGGCAAAGTTCAGAAAGTGTTTGCAAGGTCATTTGTTTCGTTACTTTTTGTATTTGTTATGCTGCGGCGGCTGGTGCGCTTGTTCTGGTAATCTTAACACGTTCTTTGCGCACGTTTCAATGATCACCTAATCAGGTAAGAAATTGTGACAACGCAGTTTGTCACGGATCAACAGTAACCTCTTACGACGTAGTTCGAGTAGCTAAACGCCTTTCTTCCGCTTCCCAGGTGCGCCTCAAACGCGTGTGAACCCCTGAGTGTCGTTTGAGACTGCTAAATAAACTGCTCTATCTTTGTTTCTGTGCGCGTTGTTACTTGATTGTCGTTGCAGTTGCGATCAGTGAATTCCGCTTTGCAAGCGGACTGACCGTGATGAATTGTTTCAGCTGTCGGGGTGATGAAACGGGGATCGCAAAATCTGCTTCCGTAGACTCCGAGTCCGCTTAAGGCGCCACTGTCGCGTTTTGCGTAAAGTCCCTTGATACTTCTTTTACAAGTAACGACAACCAATACGAATGACAAAGCACATTCCGCTGGAACAAAATGGCGTCATTCAATTCAAACCACACTTGTACCTATCTGAAATACTCTACTCAAGATACTGTATTTCAAATACTTTTGAATTATCTTGGTAACTTTCAAACACTTTTGATCTAGAGTATTTGATACTATATTTTAACTACATTTCTGAGTATCTTGTACTCATTAGCTCAAATACATTTTTGACATTGCGCCATTTTCCGTGTTTTTCGGTATGAAGTGGCGTGGTCGTGGCACGAGCAGACGTGAACATTGTTTCGAGCAACGAAATCCTGTTGCTAGCTCTGATAAGCTACGGTGACTTAGATTAAGCTCGTGAAAAGATCGCTTTTGTGCCGAGTGTGACTCATATTTCACCCCAAAGTTCGTACAATGAAGATTTTCCCCTCGCCTTCCCAAAGGCACATTTTGTTGCCCAGAGTTTCTTCCAAAAAATCCTCAAGCAAAAGAGGTGGTTTTACGGAAGTAAAGATTGCCACACTGAGGCGCAACACAGAACGGAAAACAACCCACGACAGCACTGAAAACTTCAGTGTCAAGAAAATAAAAAATTGAAGAAAATAAGAAGTGGACACAAAAAAGCACTTTTTTTTTACTCTTTTTTTTTTTTGCTACAAGCAGGATGACCTCTCAAAATGCCAACAAAGCATCCCCCAACGTTGAGTGCCTTTCTGAACTCAACCTACTCGACGAAGGTGCGACCAGTGCCGTGGCTATTACGTGGCTCTCTTTGTTATCCATTCACTTATATCCGTATCCCAAGTTCGTTTATAGTGAACTCCCCATATAGGGAATATGATTTGTAGTTAAACGATGCGTTTAAGGTGCGCCGCACGGCGTGATATCCAACGATTTCATTATAACTGAGATGACCAATTTTTTTCTTTTTTGTTCCAAAATGTTTTGTAACATTATCAGTGATATCCTGCTCCTTATAGTTGGACTTCATAGAATAACCCTACGATGTCTTTTTTAAATATTTTTTTTGCAATATTTTACGGTTGCGTGCAAATAAATCATTCTGGTAAACCAGATTTGCGCAGCTGTATAATTGTCTGTCACTGACGTCAATACAATTTATGCAATGCGGAAGTATCTTCTAAAGTAATTGAATTACATTTTTAGGTATTTGTACTATACTCAAGATACTTTACAGTGAAAGTAACTTGAGTAGCATTTTAAATACTCTATGAAGCAGGTATTTAGTAACTTAAATACTTTTATCGAGTATTTTGTCCAACACTGGTTCAAACCTCCGCTGTGCACCGCCATTCGCTTCCTAAAACCTGCACCGTCACGCAGTCGGCGCTTCAAAGAATGTCGTTACTTATAGGAAGCTCTTATCTAGGACTTTAGTTTTGCGTTTTGAGAGATGCGGCGTCATGGCTGCTGCGTCAAAGCCGCATCCCCCCCCCCCCCCCCCCCCCCCCCACTTCCGCCAAAGGCTCGTGCCTTCGGCGTTGTCGTGCCTTTGGGCACCACGCCGGACGATCTCCTTCATTCGGTCGCCGGCGTTGTCGAGCTTCCTAAAGCCTATTCAGCGCAGCACTTTGGTGCACAAAGTTTTGAATTCGTTATCAACAGCTATTCCGCCGCCGCCAAGCTCAACGAAGCCGGCGTCGTCACCATCGCCCCTACGCAAGTCCCCATCGTTCCAGCCGGACCGCAGGTGACGAACGTCACTTTCATGGTACGTGCAACGTCCCCCGAGACGCAACCCGTCGCTCCGGCAGCTAGTCTGTCTGCTGCGGGTACTTACACCCCGTGGACCGAGGTGACGAAAGACCCTAAGGCCTCTAGCGACAGCGAGCGATCATCATGGGGGAGGAGTCGCCTGCGGCGGAGTACTATTTCGGTGGCGCCAATGACGGCAGGCAACAAGGACTCGACCAACAGCTCGGAACCCTCGTACCCCTCGGACCCTCCGGATATCACGGAGCCCTTGGACCCCTCGGAAAACTCGGACCCGACAAACATATGCCGGGGTCAGGCCATGACGCCAAGCGCGTCATCTCAAGCAGCGGCTCTCGTTCCCCTCGAAGCCGAGATAAGGCTGGTCGTCGTCCCAAGAAGCCGTGACCCGGCTCACGTGACACGTCGTTCAGCTCGGCTGAGGACTTTCCGCAGGAGTTCCACAATTGAGGTAATCTAGTAAGGTTGGGTGCCGCGTCGGTTGACCACGGCGGTGACGTCATGCACCGCGGTGGTTTTTCCGTCGACTCAGGTTCGCGTGTCGGATCATAGACCCGTCATCGTCGCTCTTTCTTTACCCAAAGCGAGCGGAATGCGTCTTTGGCGTCTGGACGTTCGAGTTTTGCTCGATGAATCCGCCGAGAAGACGCTGTCCAACCTAACATAACAGTCTCTTATTGGAATGCACCCGACTCCCGCCATGTGGGACCATCTCAAGGGCAGGCGGCGGGATTTATGCCCCATGCAGGGGCGGCATCTTTGAGCGCTTCTTCAGGATACGATTCTCCGCATACGCATTGTCCGCAGTGGTGGTGCTGCCACCTCTCCTATGCAAACGTACTTGTAACAACTTCAGCAACGCTACCAGTGCCTGCTCCGCACTGATACAACGGCTTCTACGGTTTCTTGGGTGAACCGTTGTCCAGCGAACCGTCCCGAAGTCCTGCGATACACCCGGCAGGCTCAGTAGTCAGGTTCTAGCGCGCCCTTGTGGCGCCCTGCCCCTCTTCCCTCGACACGCACCGCCCCAGATGTAGTCCACCTTTCAACTTTCGCCTCCCACTTCAGGGTTCTCGCTCAGACCGAAGATGAGGCTAGTCACCCAGAACTGATCGACCACCCATTTCTTTGTGAGCTTCCAAGAGTTCCCGAGGATTTTGGTTCGTCATTAGAAAAGCCCCTAACCCGGCGGAGCTTCAACACGCCCTTTCCCGGACGAAATCGGGCTCGGCGCCTGGGCTGCAGTGGACGGTCTCCCAACCAAATTTTATGTCTTTTTGGCCTGTTCTTTGCGACTTTTTTTGTGGCGTTTTGCGGGATTTCTTTGAGGAACAGTGCCTTCCGGCATCCCTCCGGCTTGATCGAATTTTTTCTTCTCCCCAAGGAGAGAGGAAATCCTGGTGACCAGGGTGCCTGGCGCCCAATTACGTTGTTGAACGCGGACTACAAACTTCTGACCACTGTTCTTTCGTTGCGGATGCAGACCGTACTCTCAGAATCGATTAGTCCGCGTAAGACATGCTCGGTTCCGGGTCGCACCATCCATTTCCTGGTCGCCCTTAGGCGGAACCTCGTGGAGTACACGCCAGCCCGACAGGCAGGCGGTCTGCTAGTATCCCTTGATCAGGTCAAGGCCTTCGATCGTGTGGAACACTAATATCTGTTCAGGGTGCTCGCCGCTTTTGGATTACCTCCGAAGGGCATTTCTCTGGGGTATCTCTACAACGGTATGCAAAGCGAATTGTTTGTCGAGGGAATCTCGGCCACACGTTTCCCGGTCACGCGGGGCGTTTGCCAGGAGTGCCCTCTCTCACCACTCCTGTTTGTGCACAGTTTAGAACCTTTCCTTCGTGGACTTGAGAGAGCCTCGAACGTTCGTGGCCTACAGCTTCCGGGGACGGGTCAGGTCAAGGCGACCGCGTACGCTGATGATGTGACGCTCCTCGCCCGTGATGGCGACGATGTTCTGGAGGCGCTTCGGGTTTTCGCGCGGCTTTGTGCGGCGCAGAGCTAAACTCCACCCAGTCCAAGATTGTATGCTTTGGCGGTCCCCCGCGCGATCCCTTGCCGCTCCCAGTTGACGCAACTGTCGAAATCTTGGGGGTGACCTTTGATGGAGACGGCGTGGCACGCGAGACGTGGTCGGCGCTTGCGCGTCACCTAAACTCGCGCGTAGAAGAGGCCAGGGGATATGCCTTCCCAATGACCGTGCGGCGTTACTTGGCACAGTCAGTGTTTTGCGATCAACTCTGGTATGCCGCGCGCGTGGCTTCACGGCCCTCTTCGTTTGTACGCCAGGCGTGCTCTTATCTCGTGTCCCTTTTTTGGGCAGGCAAAACGGCTCTGGTGGCTCGCCCCGAGCTCAGCATCCCTCGAGAGCATGGTGGATGGAGCTGACGTTGCATCAAAC